GGCTTCACCTCCAAATGCACATGCCCTCAAAGCCACTCCCAGTTACTCAGCCGGGGCTCAGGATGTCCACTCCAATAATAGGAGGGAAAATCTGGCCCACTGCAGGTCTGGTATTCACCTCTAGTCCACCAGCTCTGAAGAAAGCCCAGAAAGGTTGCCCCTTCTCTGCCGTGGGTGGGTCAGTTCTCTGCTGGGGGAGTGTGGACAGAAGGACATGATGGATGTTTTCAGTACCACGCGGTGACCTCTTTAGTGAGTTTACAAAGTTTCCATTGGATCCACTGGCCCACTTCTGTCCTTTGGCCTCTGATTGCTAGACAGAAAAGCAAAGCAAGAAGGCAATGCCCAAAATAAAAGCCAGCTGGTAAGGCTAGCAGAGGATTCCTATGAAAATGCCTGGAGCATTGATAATGCACAAAACAGATTAGTTCAACAGTATTAGGAACAAAAATATAAGGTTTGCCATATTTTTCAATAGGTAAATATTCTTGTCCCTAGCATAAGAAATGCTACGCACCATCAGTTTTCAATTTTTTATCACTAAAGAAGACATTCCCATTAATCCAAACTCTGTATTTTCAGTATCTTGACATCCCATGTTTCCAGCCAAATTTGCTAAAATTTCACATGCCAAGATAAAATATATAAACATGTTTAACTGGAATATTGATGTTAGCTTTAAATATGTAAAGATTGTATATGGAGAGGGGTCCATTAAGGTAATATCAATAAGGGAGTTGCATAGAAACTGGTAATAACGAAAAAGACATTGAAGAAATTCATTTTATTTTTACTCATGCCTAGTGCCAAAGTGGGTTGGAAATATATGCTTTGAGGAGTCCCAACTTCAGAAAAAATCCAGCCATCTTTCAAGAAATTTTTTCCCACTAGAGAACCGCAAGTCTCTAGAAGTGAAATATCTGGTTGCATGTGGTTTTATTTGACTGCTTAATAATAGTTTGTGTGGATTCTTATTTTCAAATGCTTTCCTAAGCATCAATTTAGGTACAGAATTGTAGTGACAAAAAAAAGTGTAGTTACAATGGCCCATGGGATGGGTTTGCGTTGGGTTTGGCATTCACCAATTGGGTACATCACAAAGATTCACTAAAAGTAACCTGAGTTTATTACCTATTTCCAAGTAAGGTCAGATATATTCCAGCTATAGTTATGTTGTCTTGAATAGATAATATATCCTACCTTCAAAACAGGAAGGTAATATCTAAAACATCTGTTTTCATCAAAGACCTAAGAGACATTCTAGTTGAAATGAGATGCATTTTTTCATATGTTGTCCCTAGATATTTTCCTGGGCTCATTCTGTTCCTAAATAGCTCGAAGATTTCTAATCACTTGCCTTTTGCAAAATATAGTATACTCAAATATTCTCTTTTTGTAAATAACATTTCCACAGTTATATTCATGTATTCACAACTGGGAATGTTCCTAATTGTAAGAAACACCTTAAACATATTAAGGAAGAAAAATAGTTTTGAATAGGCACAACTGATAAGGACTAGCATAGTTTTCATAACTAGGATTCACATAGTTTTCACAAATCATCTCACACTTTCCAGACCATAGAAGAGATGCACTAAAGAGTTAAGGGCATCAAGAATCTAATTCTGAAATTATTTGTAAAAAGCTATGGTATTGTGCAAACTTCAGCCATTATTTCTTGGTAAGCGGTAAATTGGTGCCTATTCAAATGGAGTAAATAACTTGACTGCTCTCTCCATCACTACAGTAATTGCTAATGTCCTCAAGTCTGATTTGTAAGTCTGTGAATTTTTCTAGAGTTTTTTAATATCCTATGTCCAAAATGTAATTTAGAAAGAAAGTGTGAACAGAAAAATATAAAGAAAATAAGAAGAGAGAGAAGACTAGAGGAAGAAGGAGATGGCCATAGGCCGTGTTTCACTCGCAGGTTTAGCCAATCAATGTAGTGGGCAGTAATCATGTTTTATATTCCCCCCCCAGCATAGAATTTGTTTGAAAACCCATACTAGAACTTTTCTCAGAGACCTCAGTGAACTTCAAAAATGACACATTCTGATGTTCTTCACAGACACATCAATGGGCTTACTTTAGGGTGGGCTTTGTAAGGGTCTATTAACAAGGTATTCATAGACTTATGCGTAGGTAGGACAGGCTTCAGGGATTCATGAACCTCTTGAAATTACACAGAAACATTGTGCACATCTATACATACATTTACTTTTCTGCAGAAAGAGCCATAGCTTTCGTCAATTCACAAAAGGATTCTAAGATACTTACCTCAAGAAATAAGCTATGAGCCAGTGCTTTAGGTCCTTACTAATTATTTGATGTAATTTTATTTTCCTCAGAAACAAAGGCATGTGTGTGTGTGTGTGTGTGGTGTGTGTGTGTGTCCATGTGTGTTACCTGACAGAAAGGCTTAATGTTACCATATCTTGACAAGTGTAATTTACCCTAAGCATGATATTTTAGGCATGACTGATTCTCTACCTCTCATAACTAAGAAACTAAAAATACTTTACTTTTAGGCTACAAAGGCTTTTATCATCCATGAAACAAATTTCCACGTATATCACTGAAGGAAATAGGGATAATTTGGAGGCAAAGATATAGTTAATATTTATGTAAAAGTATATATCTTGCTCCATCTAATTTTTAGCACTGAATTTGACTAAATATGTATATATGTGTGTGTATAGACTATATACACACACTCAACTCTCAAACAACAGCCTTTGAGAATTGATCCTTTCACCTGGGTGTGCGCTCAAAGGGAGAGGAGGTTTCAGCTATCGTGCCTGCTGTCCTGCAGACCCTAGATCACTGGCATTCTAGTAGGTCCATTCTAGGGCTTCTCCCTCCATGAGAACACTGAGTGCATCACACTAGGAGTCTGCGAGTTGGAGTAAAGATCCCACTAATGGAATCCATGCTCAAGAGTCAGAATTTGGTAAATCTAGGATCTCTTAATCCTGGAATGAGTCTAAATATATCATTTGATTTAATGCACGTATAGAGAGGATTGTTCCTCAATATAAAGTCAGTAATTATAGGAGCGGGTGCTAAAGCAAAGAAATGGGAAATTAAGTAGCATAGTACTTTGTGAAGTTCTTCATAAAATAACCTTTAACCAGGGAGAAGAGGTATCTTTCCAAGGCATATTAAAATACAAATCCCTATGGGGTGGAAATTTTTTATGACAGCAAATTCTCCTCCAAAAGAGGTATGCTATATTAATATTGCAAGTTAACCCTTACTTTTCAAGTGCCTTTCAGTAGGAATTTGCTTAATCTTCATAATGAGCAGCAATGGGAAAGCGTCTCTCTCTCTTTGTAGACACCCAAACAGAGCTTTAAAGTCACCTACTGTCTGAGTAACCAAGGACTCCTGGGTCAAAGCAGAATAGCCAGGCCTTTCACTTTTTCCTCGGATTTGAAGAAATTATTCTCAAACCTCCCCATCCACTGAAAACTAATGGGGTCTCAGGTCACTTCTCTTCCCGTTCCCTCTGGGGAACAAAGAAATCCTGGCTTATTGCCTTGATCAATAATCATCATTTTCTTTTATTTCTTAAGTGTAGATTTAAAATGGCATCCTTTTTGTTGTAACTGGCATTTGAACCATTCCTTTAAGATGAAAATCAACAATGAGAAACACTGACTTAGAAGAGATAGGGCCTTAGGAGACTGAGGTATTTATACATTAGAAGTAAAACAGGTCACCTAAGGCAGAAATATCTCTTACTAATAGAGCAAGAAACCAAATCCTAAACCATTATTTGTCACTGGGAAGCAGTTTCTCGATGTAAAACAAAAACCATAACAAAAGGTTTAAAGGGGAGAATTTGGATGTCCAAGAGTGGGTTTTTTTTTTTTTTTTTGGTTCATATTTACAGAAATGGCGTGGAATTTTGATTCTTTCCTTTTTAAGATAACTGCTTTGTGTACCCTCTAAGACCGGTTCATCTTTATAGTACTGCTTGATTCCTTAACCATTCTGAGGAGGTAGGGAGAGGAAATGCAGTGTGATACAAAATTGAACAAAAGGAAGTTATTCAATGAACAGGGATGCTTGGAAGGTCCCTTGATAATGAATTTAATTTCTTCTTATCATGCCTCTCAGGGACACTTGATTTTAATCCTTGTCTTTAATGTTAGGTTGAACCATACATACACTGCTAATATTAGAGCAAATTTTACCTCAAAACAGCAGTGTCTTATGGTTCAGCATAAATAGCTTAAATACTTTAAGAAAGATCTGTGAAACCCCTTAATTCAACTGAATTCAATAAAGGTTTACTGGACACCCACCACGAGCCTAACACCCTGCTCAGCAGTGAAGGATACAGTAATGACAGGTAGTGGATGCCAAGGCTCCTGGGTAATTGATCAAGCCTATTGTGCTGGTGAGAGTCAACAATCAAGTTGATCATCTATAGTCAAAAATAAGCCCATAATTCAGCCAGCAGTTGCTTCAACAAGTTAAAATATGCCCCCAGCTGATTTTGATAGTCTTTAATAAAAAGAGCCATTTAGGCATTTTTCTTGCCACTGTGATAATTTCAGGGTGGTGGCATTTTTTTTTTTAACTTCTCACTTTTCATACAGGAAACTGAACCATTAGATAAATAAGAGACTTGCTTCAGGTTACGTTTGGCTTCCAGTCTTTTGGCTGCTGGGGCAGTGTTTTAGCTGTTGTCCAATTCCTTTCTCTCCCTCCTCACCCTAACGTCCCCCTGAAAGAAGTATGGAAGGCATGGCCTTCCCTGACCCCAGCACCCTGGGCGTTGTGGGGAGAGGGCAAAGTCAGACTGGTGGGCAAATTCTGCTAGAGGGTTTTCTGTAAAGTTTTGCTCAGTATTTTATCCCGTCATATGCTGTTACCTCCCCCCGTGCTCAGTAATTTTAGTTTGTGCTTTTTGTTTCTCTTTTTGTTTCTTTGGTTTGCTGGCTTTGTGTTCTTTTCTCTTTTTTTCCTTTTCTTTTCCTTTTTTAATGCAGGAATCGGTCAAGGCGTTCCGGTGGTGGCGCTCATTGTGGAAGGAGGACCCAATGTGATCTCGATCGTGTTGGAATACCTCCGAGACACCCCTCCCGTGCCGGTTGTTGTCTGTGATGGCAGTGGACGAGCGTCTGACATCCTGGCATTTGGGCATAAATATTCAGAAGAAGGCGGGTAGGTAATTTGCCAGGACCCATGGTAGATCCTTGGTGCAAAGCCTGTGTTCAAAGCTTGGATGAGAGGGTATTAGTTACCTGTGTGTTTAGTAGCTCAAGCAAGACCTCACATCAGCACCAGCTATGAGCAAGTTGTGTCAAAGACATCTGTCATGGAGGGTGGTGGAGAACAAAGGAACCTATTCTAAATGTCCTATGTAGTAGGAAATTACATGAAAACCGTGCAAGACCACCCTGACATAAAGAGGATGAAGGGAAGCAAGGAGGTCGTAGTACACGGTCTTCCTTCTCTTCTCTTCATTCTTCCCAATAAGGAGAAGCAGGAATTGAGCTGTCACACATGGGTCACAGCTAATCTGGACCACATAGTACATAGAAGCTGGGATGTGCAACTTCCAGGCTTGGCCTCCAAATACCAACATTGCTGAGCTACTGTACAGACACGTGGTGGACTGTGCCTTCAGGTCCCTCTAGATGGGCTTGGGAAGTAAAATCTCTGTAATGGTATTCGCTCTGGTCCTCTGAAAACTCCTCTTGAACCCCTCGTGCACTTCCCTTGGGCTATCAGCCTCCTAATGCTACTTTCAATCATCCAAAGCCCCCAGCTCTGGGGAAGATGCCCCATCATAGCTCTCCCTCCAACCTGAGTTCCCACTCAGGGAATAGTGCAATCCAGGCACTCTAACAGATTGTTGGATCAAAGTAATTCATCCCAAGGTGTGAGTGTAAGGAACACAACTCAAGGGAACCATTGAAGTTTGAAATAAGGAACTTCTTAACCCAATCAGTTCTCCTAACACATACAATCAGTGGTGGGAAAAAAACTCCCAAAGGAGATGGGGGTCTTTTATTCATGCTTGTTATAAATATACTAGTAAGTGTCTACTGGGTGCCATGCTATGCCAAACACTGAGATGTAAAAAAGAATCACATAAAATTAATCGCCAACCTCAAGAAGCTCTAATAAGTAGAGAAGTGTTATAATAATAAAAATGACAGGTGAGCTCACCTACTGCAGGACACTTACCCTTCCACCTCTCTCTTACCTGTCCTGCCTTAAGAAAGACAGTCCCCATGGCAGTTCAATACCCTTTCTTATCTTCCATCCTCATCCTTGTCTTTGCCAGTAGCTCGGCACTCTAGGTGAGCCATTAAAATAACACATTTACCTGGTTAGTAGATGGACGTAGGTATGTGAAATGAGGAATAATGAAAGGCATTGGGCATCCAGCCTTTGAGATACAAACCTTGACAGTGATTTTAGAGCTAGTTAAAGCTTCGATACTCTCCCCGCAAAATGTGAATTTTTATAAGTTCAAAGTTGGAGTTTGCTCACTGGCCAATTTAATTAAATTACTATTATTTTCTTCTTTGATAATACATATTGATCCTTTTATAGCTAAGGATCTAAAAAGAGAACATTTTTCCTAAGTGCTCCATATCTATTACCAACCAGAGTTCAAGATCCCTAACTGTGTTTAGTTTTTATTAAAAATTTACCCATAGTTCTCATTTCTTTAAATATAGCAATTTGTTCATTTTTCAGAAATAAACCAAAGAATTTATAAAGCTTTTAGCTTTTTTCTTGCTTCCTGGTGTTTGCAAATTATTTTATTGTAATCCTACAAAGTAGATAGAAATTTGCATTCAGAATGTGTGTTTTGGGTGTATAGCTCAGTGGCAGAGCACTTGCCTGCAGACTGCATGTTTCTATTTCAGAAACTCATGGAAAAAGTAGGCTACTTAGCTCAGTATTTCAGGTTTTCTAATTCTATATATAATGGAAGTCAGGACTTAGTGCCTATTGTTTATCATGATCTTGGATTATCTACCTTGAAAAATTCACTAAAATATGTTCTGTGGTATGTGTTTTTAGTGTTTCTTATATAGTACTTCCATGACACTGTCTTTAAATATCTAAGTGCACTTAAGTTACCTTCAGATTCCTCTTTACATTATAATTTAATTTTATAATTCTGTATATTCTAAAAAGGTAAAACCAAAGCATTCTTGGTTGTAAACCAATGTCCAAGCTGATCAACCCTATGTCACATAGATTATTTTCCTTCCCCTACCCAGACAATTATACCCCAGCCTCCAAACTGAGTCAAAAATGCCATAACCTCTTAACTTTAATTGGCAGTTTTAGTTCTTATTATTTTATGGTCTGAATATGCAAAAGCATAATCTATATGGGATCTATACAAACTATGAACCGTGGCTCATTATCATGGAATATGAAGTTATGCAAACAACTAGTGAGGAGATGAAGAATTAAGTATAATTTTATATCATGGGAATTTTTAAAATTAAAACTTTTAACATTTTAAGAAACACCAGGCTGACCAAGAGTGAGACCTTGTCTCTACTAAAAATAGAAAAAATTAGGTGAGCATGGTGGCCCGCGTCCGTAGTCCCAGCTACTTGGGAGGCTGAGACAGTAGTATCGTTTAAGCCCAGGAGTTTGAGGTTGCTGTGAGCTAGGCTGATTCCACTGCACTCTATCCTGGGTGACAGAGGGAGACTCTGTCTCCAGAAAAATAAAAATTTAAGAAACATTTAGAAATGGAAGAAAATAGAAGTCTAAAGAGAAGCTTTGTATTTTATACACACACACACACACACACACACACGCACACATACACATACATATGTATGTTATGATGAAAGCGTACTCTTTCTCCAGGAAAGTGATTATAAATTTATCATGATAGAATAAAGTCAGAACATTTCTGTGTGCCATCTGAATAGCTGCAAGAATTAATCATATTTATTTGGCTTGATAAGAAATTGTCTAGCCACACATGTGCAGCCAATTTAAAAAATCATTTCCAAAGAACATCATTTTGCAGTAGTGTGCTTTCTTTATGTTAAAAAAAAAAAAAAAAAAAGGATTGGCCCACCCAGGCTTTATTCATCAGGAAGGATTTCTTCTTTGATTTCCAACAAAGTCCAACAGAGTTGGACATGTCTCACTACAAATAAATGTAAATCCATAACTTTATGTTCATATAAATAAACCTATTAAGTGTGTTCATTGTACATATAAAATTGAATATAGGGGGCATATACACCCTGTTCATGAAACCTTTATTTCAGGGCTGAATCGGTGTCTTTTCAATTACTCTAGTAGCTTAAACATGATTAAAAAATTTTTTTTAACTTCATTTGTAGGTTCATAAAGAATACAGGTCCTTGGACTATAAATACATATGCTCAGCTATATAGCTTTTCATTTTATACTCTTAAAGGGGTAAAAAAATTTACATCTGATATTTTAACCTTTGTAAACTTTATATTTTGTCTGAATTCTCTTCTAAGAATGTGAATTCGAAAGAGAATCACTTTGGAAGCAAATTATAATTGTCAAAAATGATTAGCTTTTGTAGATGATGTAGAGTATGATATAGAAAAAGACAGACTGTATCTATCACAGTGCAAATGGGTTTGGAAAAACTAAGAAACAATTGCAATTAAATTATAATTTTGGTCTTTTTCTCTCCATCTCTGCACTGTGGCATATACTACCTGAAAGAAATGATCAAACTCCATTTTTTCTTTATTGTCATAATGGATTTTCTCTGTTGTAGTTTAAAATGAGTCACTAGTCATTTTCCCTAATTAATTTCATTGCTTTAGAAATATTTTCAAATTTTATTTCTGAATTTATTTCTGAATGACTAACCACTATAAACATAAAGAGATTAATACTACCCAAATAGCAGTAGATTGAATTACTTAAGTGATTAAATAGGAGGATTATACTTTTTGCTGTGTCTAAGATGAACAACAATACCCATAGTTGAGAACACCTTTCAAGCATTAGGCTCCTGAAATCAGAGATTACTTTGCCAGCTAATTGTTAACCTGTATGTCAGATTGCAGAGAAATGTTGTCTAGCCCCTCATTTATCAGTCAGTGAGCAAGTACTTCACCCATGAAAAATGTCAGTGTGGAAAAGGCATTTGAATGCATGCCCATATTCATCTAAATTTTGTTATCAATGCTAACATTATTTTGGTATCTTTGTCCCAGAAATAATCATCTGGATTTACCATTTTTAGCCACCCTAGGACAAGAAGCAGAACTTGCTAGTTAGCAGAAAGCCTTAAAGTTTTTTAGTTTTCTGTTCATTACTTTTGGAAAATTACCAATGAGGCAAACACCAAGAGACAGGTCACAGTCTTTTGTGCCAGTGGAATTTGTATTAGATATTGTGAAGAATAAATGAACAATGACTTGCTCTTGGTAGCAGGAGAATAGATAATACATTCCAATAAAAAGTTGACTTTCCTGTTTAAAGGAAACTTAATAAAAGTCCTTACATTTTTAGATTAGCAGAGGCAAAGGCATAAATAGAATATCAACTGGAGAGGAAAAAGGAAAAATATGTTATATGGCATCAAATTATCTAACTATGTATTACTAGCATAGATGGGGCAAAAGTTTGTTTCCTGCAAATACACATCAAAATGACCAAAGAAAGGGAAAAGTCCCTAAAAAAGTAGACATTTTAGAAACCCAAGTGTTGTCTGTATTCTCCAAGTTTCATGTTGTCATATCATTCTGTGCAATGGTCACTAATGTTTTTTCCTGCTGCTCTAGAAATTTCCATCTAAAGCTGAAGGATGTCAAAGCCTTATCATTTGTCTCTATGAGATCTGCTGTAAGAAAGTAATTGATCTCGATGATTTGTGTTCCAGCATGATTTAGGCATAGTTGGAATGTCAAGTGAAAAAGAAGGAAACACGTCAAGCATGCTGACTTCTAGTGTCCATTATAGTTTTTGTTAATTCCATCTTACCTTGTCTCTTGCCTAAGATTTCCTATAAGAAATCGTGTCAAAACTTGATTTTTTTTTTTGTAACTTTCTCAGAAAGGAAGTAAGAAACCCTGGGAACATCTTCTATGGACAAAGAATACTGGCAGCTTTGTTTATAAAAAGTGTCATTTTTGTAAACTTTTCCAAGTTAATGTTTACTGAGTACCTACTGTATG